TCTGTACAAAAAGGATTATTAATGAAGTAACTGGAATAGCTGAAAGCTGGATCTGTGACCAAGCCTTGGGATAATTCCAGTCTAGTTCTTGATTCTCAGTAACTGGAGTGAGCTCCAGGTAGTATAGTTGTGTCACCAGCAAGGGATAAACCCAAAATTCAACTCTTAAAAAACCCTCAAACCACTGGGAATCCATCCCAGCAGAGAATGGCTGGATCATTCCTTTATCTGCACTTTATTTCTTTTCCAGTATCCAAATACTCACATGGCCTCAAAGAGTGTTTCCTTCCTCATGCCTTCTGAAAACTCATGTCCATTATTGCATCTTCACAAGGTAACACAAAATCTAAACCAGATGATCCTGTTACATCCAAAAAAGCGACACCAAAAGGTGGCAAAGGCAGAGCCCCAGAAAAAGGGCTGCACACAAATAAGTTTGCCCAGAGGAGGAAAAAAGGATGATATTTCCCTGTGGCCTGCTCTCAGTGTAAAGATCCCCCTTTAGGCTGCCCTGGCCTCAGATAAACACATAATTTTTCTTGCCCCAAAATGCATGGATATGGGCAGGAGACCTGCTGCTGGAAAAGGCAGCGTTATTATTTGACCACCCAGAGACCGGCACTGAGCCAAGCTGGGAGTTCAGCGAGATGCCCTCCAGAAGTTCCTTCCAGCCTTCATTTCTCATGAGCCTGTACCAGCTGCAGGATTATTCCCTGCTGGACCACCACACTGACAAAACAATTATTCCTCACTCTGCATTTGGTGGGGCAGTGCCAGCCCCGGGAGCACCAGCCCCACTCTGTTCTCCCCTGCAGGAAGCAGAGGTCCTGGTCAGCACACAGGAGAACAGCCATCCCCTCCCTTTCACACATACACCCTGCAAACCCAGGCATCAACACCGAAAGCCCAACCTGTACGACCTCTGTCAGGTTGCTCTGAGAACAGGCTCTCTGCCGGACGTTCACAAACACACCCTGGAAGCACCAAGCCCAGCTCCAGGATGGCAGTGCCAAGTCCCATTCTAGCAGCCACCCAGGGAGCAGCTGAGGGAGCCAATCCCACTGCTCAGAAGCCTTTACAACCACTTTCTCCCCGCAGGTGTTTTCTCTGAAGTGCTTGTGCTTTCAGCTGAAAAAATTAAACCTACCCTGGCACCATCCAAGAGACCAGAGTTTCCCTCTTTTTGGAGCTTGCCATAGACAGAGCCCTTCCTCTCGGAGACCTTGCAGGAGGATACATCAAACAGCTGCTATGATATAATCCAGAAGGGATATTAAATCCCATCAACCCCTCGCTGACACTGTCTAGAGCACGAGAACAGAAGCACCCTCAGCCTCTTCAAGATCAGAGCAATATGTTTTACAGGGAGAGATTCTTCACAGCCACACACACGTGGGACACACATGGGATGAGCAGAAAGCTCAAAGCCAAGAGTAAACACATTCAAAGTCTCAGGTATTTCACTTCCTGCTGCACAGTCAGGCAGAGAAAAGCCCCTGGTGTGCAGGCAGGGACTCAGAGGAGGGAATCGATGTTCTTCCTGCCAGGGAACATTCCCAGGGAACAGGTGAGGAGGAGGAAGGAGATCCCTGCTCTTACATGGAACAGGTGAGATGCTCCTGAGGAGTTCCTGCCTCCAGAGAGGCCTCCAGCCCAGATCCAGAGGACAGATATTGCTGTGGAGACTGCAAGGATGTTGAGGATGTCAGGAGGATCATTCGCAGGTAAACTGACTCCCCTTGCTCTTTCTGTTCTCACATTCAGGGATCACACGGGAAAATCTAAGGTGTGGAAACAGAATTTTGGCTAAGGCTCCTACCTTCCCATGGCACAGCCAGGCTGTGGGACCCAGAGCTCCATGAAGCTCTAACATGGGAGGATGAGGGAGCACGCAGAAAACGCGGATATCCCCAAGGTGTTTCAGTCAGACACAGCAATTCAGGTATTAAGTTCCACAGACTCTGTCCCATCACCTCATCCCCTTAAGGGTCTTTGCTTCCTCCCACTGACATAACACATCATGGCAAGGTTTTGGGGAGATGGGACCACTTTCCTCAGGCCCAGCCCCTCCTACCACCTTCAGCCCCACACTCCAAGCACCAGAGTCTGTTCAGACTCTGAACCTCCCTGATGCCATCCAGAGACTGATGGTATTAAACAACCAACTCGTTCAGCCCACAGCCTGTTTTCAAACTGCTCTCAGGAACCCAGTGCTACTGGAAATAAAATTTTTCATTAACCCATCCTGGCAGCACATACAGAAAGCCTCCAGTGCAGGGTTAAGTGCTCCTGCTACAAAGCACAGTCTCCACACAGGTCACTGGTAAATACAGCAAAATGCTCCTGTGTTTAACCCACTCGCTCCTGCAGAACCACATATACATTCATTAAACCCTCATCTCTGTCAGGTGCTGTGCTCAGCAGAATCTTCTCCCTGCCTCTGCAGCAAAGCTACCAGTGCCTGCTGGGATCAAAATGTGAATTTATGGAGAGGCGCCCAGAAGGTTAAGAATGCTCTGACTCCTGCACTGGAGAAACAGCTTTTGAGCCTGCTGCCTGAGACTTCCATCCTACAGTGTTGCTAAGGCTCACAGCCGGGTGATTTGCATGTGGTCCCACTGAGACCTGAAAGCAAGAGCAGCTCGCTCACCCTTACTTTCCCTATCTTACTTTGTCCTATAAAAACAGTCTTTTTCTGGCTCATCACTGTTGTGCCTCACTGTGCATATCTGGCAGCCTTTTTCACCACAACAAAGCCCTGAAGCCACTGACTTGAGTTCTACAGGCTCTGGAGACCACCCAAATTCCTGTGTGGTGGCACCAACTTTAAGCACCACTCAGGGTGGACCAAAAGGACACTTCACCTTGAGACTTGCAGCTCTCAAACATCTACCTGAAACACCCCAGGTCAAAGGATTAGGAGGGTTTATGTGCTCCAGCAGGTGAATGTCACCTTTTGATGGGGCAACAGAGAAAGGCTCCAGGCACTGCATCACCACCTGCTTGAGCTCATCGTGGGCACCTTTAGTCTCTTACTGTGGGCCAGGGCTGAATGATCAAAACCACACTTCACACAAGTGTTGCTCTGCACATCAGAGACAAGGCTGGTAAAATCAATCCACCCACGCTCCATCCACTTGTTCCTGTGCACATCACAGTCCTGATGTACTGACGTTCATCACTCTGCCCTTGCAGGAGGGCTACAAACAGCTTCAGGAGAAGGGAGACAAACTGACCCAGCACTTCCTCTGCTCATCATTCCCAAAGACTCTTCTCAAACATCCTCACCAGAGAGCTATGCTGCTCCTCTTGAAGCACTTTTTCTTTAAAATCAGTTTTTCTGTTGAAATGCAGCTCTCTACATGCTGCAAAGTCTTCCCCCAACCAACTGCTCCACTGTGCTCTGAATAATTTAATTTTAAGCATCTTACTGCCATGAAACTGCTGATATTTTCCCAAATTACCTCATTGCCTCTTTGCTGGGATCAGCTCCTCTGCTTGCACAGCTGATACCAGGAGCACTTGGGACATGCCTTAGCATCCATCTTCAAGCAGCTAAGTTCCAGCATGACTTTTCAGAAGCTGTGGTCAAAGTCCATCCTAAGGAATCGATCCCAAGTGCTTGGCAGTCTGTGCCAAAGCATGGAACTAATAGACTTTGATTCCAGCCTGATGCATTTATTTTACATGACTAATAGAATTTATCAAAAGAAAAATCTGATACCCAAATTCAATTCTGGAATTCAGCCTGCAGGCTCCGTAATTTGTTTCACTTGCAGGTCACCCTACCTGAGGGTGCAGTCTAAGAATGGCACTGGGCTGCAGATATGCTTTGGTATCATTTAAATTAAATTTAGTCTAAAATCAAAACTCTTTCCCAAGTAGTTGTGACAAGCCAACAGACGGCATTTTCTAGGACAGCATCTGCTCTTTCCTCGGTTCTGAATAATTCAGCCAGAATATGGAGGTTTCAGTGGAACCAAGGATCCCATGTTTAAGGAGAAACAGGACACACAAGTGTTTCCTGTTCTAAATTGCTAAATGTTCTTATTCCCTCCTCTCCCTCTAGACCTATTGGGAACTGCACAGATCAATATGGAGGAAAATTAATTCTGTCTACTGACCTCTAAAATTACATTCAAGAGACAGTGACTCTGAGGACATTTCACTGAGATGAGAGAGCAGGAATATGTGCTTGAGGTCATACCTCAAATGAGAATAGAGAGGAATGACACATGAGACCAGAAATAGCTTTGAGCTTTACAGGCTGTTAGTTTTAGGTGTTCTGGAAGAGAGACTTAAACCAAACAGTTATTTCTCCCCTCATAAAACAGCAGCAGCAGTGATAGAGTGAGCACTAGCCTTAATTAGCTGATTCCTGCCCTGGGCTGTATGACTTTCATTACTTCAGATCTGGCCATCCACCAGAAGCAACCACAGAAACTGTGTCACTGTGAGGTCTTTTTCCATGCCCTCGTATCTAGGAATTCTAAGATTTCCTGCTGTCCTTCTGCCCAGCTCCATTCCTGAGGACCGTGGATGTCACAGGCTTTGAGCATGAAGCCAGCACAGGGTCCCTGTGGCTCTCAAGGAAGTGCAGGTGGATGGTAAGGGACAGAACAGCTTGTCACCGCAGAGAGCCTTGGCTCTGTTTGCTCCCACAGGCTGTGCCAAGAGCCTGCATCCTGGGAATGGGGAGAACCATCCGCTGGATCTTTCAAAAGCAGCCAGAGGCAGCCCCAGTCCAAGCTCTCCCTGACCTGCTCTCCAGCAGCTATTTTAATGTTACTCAGGGTCCAGCCATTGGTTTAGTATCCTGCCTCCTCCTCTCCACAAAGGTCATCAGGATCTGGGAATACCACGAAAGACTCCAGGCATGCTTATACATCAGTACCTGTACAGTCTTTCTCACCATCAGGGAAAGGTTTTGTGAGTTCGGCAGGACATCGTGGGAGGAGGGGGAATTAGAGCAAGACCATGAATAAGGAGAAGAAGCAATCTGGAAGTTAAAGTGTTTATTGATGTGTTTAAACTTTGTACATTCCCCACAGACCACACTAAGGAGTTTGCAGGTAAATCTGTGCATAGTGGGAAGAAACACGGAAAGGGGAAGAAAAAATAAAATCACAGGAAAAATAGAAAAAATACACCACAGGTTACCAGAACCCCCAGATTTAAAAAAGCCGTGAGCATCAACACCAACTATACAAGCATTACAAAGACATAATGATGGTGAGTGGAACAATGCCCCTTCTGGTCTTCTTGGGGCCTATGCATCCTATTTCCCTTAAAGCAGGCAGCATCCCTTTCCCAACATGTCACTTTCTTCCATCCCCAGCTAAGAGACCTCTCTGTGTTTGTCAGCTCCCAAGGTCCCAGTTATTGCAGTGATTTGTCATTTCTGGCCCAACATCACCAAGGGAGATGCAAAGGCTCAAAAACCTGCAGCTCTTAACTACTTACCATGTTGGTGAGGCAGGAGAGCTGGGGAAATTAGAAAGTAGTAGCAAGAGGGGGCTGTTAATGCCAGGTGAGTACTGAAGGAAACTGGCTGAGAACAGAGGATTTCAATTCAATACCAGAACTTCCAACTCTAGAGCAGAACTGAATCTCAAAGGGGAATGTGCACACCCAAGTATGCACAAACCATGTTCTAACATTCTACTAGAATAACTACAAACAGAGATGCTAGAAGCCTTTTAACTCCTTGCCTCCAGGGAGTCTTGATTCCTAGAGCCCGAGCTGCTAAGCAGCAGGGTGCATACCACTGGCATATGAAGATGGGGTTTTTTTCCTTTTTTTTTTTCTCTTTTTCTTTTTTTGTCTCATCATAAGGAATTTTGTTAGTTACCATTCCCAATTGCTTCCTTGCTTTTTCCGTAGTAGCTCCTATCCCTAAATCCCTAAATTAATCTCTTTGCAACTCCCAGCAAAATTCACAAAAAAAAAAAAAAAAAAAAAAGGAAGGAAAAAAGAATAATGCTTTATATACAAAAGCCAGAATGACCAAAGAGCCACAATTGTCCCCTTTTTTGAAGGTGGGCTGGTACAAACAATCCTCGATATACAGGTGGTCTATCAGAAATAAAAATCAATGTTTCCCATTTTTATAGATATAGAGCTTGTATCAGACAACAGTACAACAGAACTGGTATTTTTCAGATTATTAAAAAAAAAAAAAACTACATCTCAGTCAAATATCTGCAATAGATCCATTTTTCCCATTTAAGGAGATTTATATATCATATTGTTATATTATCATTTCTTCACCCATTTTAAAGAATGGAAATTGCAACTCTACAGTAGTAATTATAGTCTTAATGATCCAGGAGTTCTGAATGTAAGATGAAGTCCTCTTGAAGCAACTGTTGGTCAGTAGTTGATCCAAAACACTGGACCACTTTGGCCCTTCGCCCCCAACACCTTTTCCCATCGGGGCTATTCCATCTTCATCTCTTTTATATCTGCATCTGCTCCAGGTATTTGTAAGTGGGATTCTCATAGCCATGGTTTTGCATCTTGCTCAGATGCCGCTCCTCAGGGGTGAGCATCGGGTCAACCTTTGGAAAAAACACATGATACTGGTCAAGGAGACACTTCCAGGACTGATTCCACAGAACAAGAGGCAACAACGAACACTGAGCAAATACCATGGTGAGCAGTAAACGGAAAAAAAGGTCAACTGCCAAAGGTAATTTGTTTAATACAATTGCTTGTTCAGGAGCTGATGCCTCCTGCCCACCCAATCCCCTATGGGGATGTTTTCACAAATCTGTCATTGCTCAGCCAACACTGCAAATCAGGGACCCACTTCTCTCATTGAAGAGGTTGTTATGATCTCTTGCATGGGTGGGGCAATGGGCACCTGCACACTAAGGAATGAGCAATGATGGTTGTCAGCAGGGACAGAGTTAATTCCTACCCAGCCAGAAGCAGAACTCTCCATGGCCTGGCAGCTCCTGCCATTCTCTACCCCCACACACATGTGATTCAACACTGACTATTTTCATCCTCAGTTATGGAGCTGTTTCTCACCTCCACAATTCCATGGCTGATGGTCCCATACTGCCTCTTCCTCAGCATCACCAAGCTGATGACTATAACAGTAGCTATGGCAACAGCAATCACCAACAGCCCAATAAGGGCACTGCTGCTGAAGCCAAAGTCATCACGGAGGGAGTTGTCATTATCCTGGAGGGAAGAAAACAGAGCAGGTTGAGGAAGAGCAATAAGGGAGATGCACTGCTGAACACAAACCTAAACCATGACCACTAGAAAGGTCTTTGACCATCTGTGGTACCGAGATGCAACTGATTATACACTAGACAGTGTGTGTGTGTGTGCATATATATATATATATATATATATCCTCCCTAAGTATTCCACCCCTAAATATTTCACACCTCTAAATATTCCATCGAAAGGATAACCAATGCAAAATTCTTTCCCCATTTAGTAGCTGGGGACAGACACTGGCCCACATCACTTCCCTACCCCACAAAACACTTTTGCAGTAGGAGTCAAATTAATATCTAATGTGTGTTCACTATTTACATCTTTATGCAGAAGGACTGTATTGTGTTTCACTCTGCATGAGCCCCCAGGCATCCAGGCACCAAACCCTGAATTCAGTCAAAATGGTCATCAAAATCCAGCATTAGAAATTTGCCAGTCCCTGGATTCAGCAGCCACAAACGTACCGGCTCATCCACCAGCCCTCCGACGCGCTCTGCGTTGAAAATCATCTCCTTCACATCAAGGGTCTCATCAATTACCTAAAAACGGCCACAAAAGTGTTTTATGGAAGGATCCACACAAAACAAGGAGGACAAGGAAGAGGAAGACAGACAAGAGACCATTAATGAACACTAGCAAAGGCTCAGGACCACTTACCATCTCCCTTTTGCTCTCAACAGCATGGAATGTTCTCCAACTCTTATAGAGCCACCAGAGAGAGTATTACAGCTAGTTACCTCCAGACTCAAACTAAATCTCAAACTAAAGCCCCAAAGGAAAAAAAAAATAGGTGCTAACTTTGGACCCAGCATTTCTGTTAACTAAATCTCAAACTAAAGCCCCAAAGAAAAAAAAAAAATAGGTGCTAACTTTGGATCCAGCATTTCTGTAAGATCTGTAAGATCTAACCTGTGGCTTTAAAACAGTATTGAAAGGAAATTCAAAAGCTGACTTCTTAATTTCTTAAACCCATGGAACTGAGGCAAAGTGGCTGTCACTAGAACCTAGAGAATTCTTAACACTGTGGATAAAGACAATTCCAGCTGGGTTGCTCACCTTCAGAGGCCTTGTTTGCCATGAAAAAAAAGTGGGAACACAGATGGAACACACCAGCATTTGGTGTGTTCAGACAGTGAGCTACCTAGTGAAAATAAAGGGACACCAAAGGGTCTCTGCTTGGGAAAAGCGTTCCTAAATCTGAGAGTTCTCAGAATCAGACTACCAAAGATCTGAAGCTCTCTCCTTCCCTTCCTCTCCTACCCTTCTAATGCTAATCAGTATTAAGAGCCTACAATAGTCACCAAACTGACTCCCCCACACCATATGGATAATGAACAGTGACATTCTGTGAGCTGGAATGAGACATGGAAACAAGCCACTGCTATTAATTAGTGTCCACAGCAGGTTTAGCTTCACAAAATAAAGGCGGAGAGCTCACCACATTTTCATCCACCTTGTTCTTGCTGTTAATCACTTTTTCTTCAGCACCAATCAGCCCGTCCAGCTCAGTCATGCCAGAACCTGCACAAAAGAGCAAGGAGAGCCCATCAGCCCTTAGGAGCATTTTGGAAGGGTCACCTACTCTGTGTAGAGCTGCCATGGATCGTGTGTTTAACTGCACAGACCGCTGAGTATTAACCTGTCCTCATGCTGCTGTGTCAGATGGTAGCTCACAAGCTACAGTGACAAGTGATTAGGAGGGCTGTTAATGAGGGGAAATGAAGTGGCAACGAGAGGAGCAGACAGGACTCATCACCAAAATCAGACTGAGGTGTCAATTCAGACAAACCGCACAGTTAAGTGCTTCTGTTAGATGGCTCCAGACAAGGCATAACACACAGTGAGTAATGGCTGCAGGTGTCACGCCAGGTCACCAACACCCCTCTGTGACCCTGGACAGAGTGGACACACATCCATCTGCCAAGAGCCAGCACACAGGGAATGGTTTCAGCATCGCCCATTCTGCTGGAATCAGGCACACCAGCAAGTGCTTATGAAATTGGAATGAGAATTCCAAGGTCACTCAGCATAGCTCCATAATGAGCTGCTGTCCCATACCTGGCACAAGCCCAAAAACAGTAAATCCTGGGACAAGGGAGGAGCAGAGAACTACGCCAGCCTTTGTACCAGAACACTACTACCCCATTTCCAGGCTGGAACCAGCACTGGCTCAAGAGAAGAATATCAATGAACAGAAGGCTCTGCATAAACTGTTTTGATCCAAAGCATTTATAAATAGATCAGATCAGTACAAGAGTCTGATGCAAACTGCCCTGACATAACATGGCATGTTAGGAGAACACCAGTGTTCCACTTGTGGTGGGGACAATGTAATGACCTGTGACGCCCTAGTGCAAAAGCAGGACAGTGATGCCTCAAACATGGATCTTTCCAATGACATGGGGAAATTCTACTACAGTACTTCAGGCTTTGCTGGTGACTGCAAACCCCCTACTCTGCACAAACTGCTGAGCTTGCAAGGTGCCCAAGACATGTCAACTGCTGCTGGAATTGGCAGCATTTGCTTTGATGAGAAACAAGGACAGGCTACTTGGCTTCAAGGCAAGTTTTTACAGTGACAAGTTTGTATTGCCTGAAAATGTCACAGAAATACCATTTCACTATGAAGCAGCTCAGGTTTCAGTGCATCACATTTTTCTTCAGAGGCAGTAATCAGATTCCAAGCACGGCCAAGACTGCCAGTCTGACTTCTCTCAACTGCTAAAGCAGGTTATGTTATTATGGAAGTCAATGATTGGGATTTTCAGGAGAAACCAGCCACAAATAGTTTGTACAGAACTACTGTATCAGCTTTTGGCCTATGGTTGCTTTATTCCAGCCTCAGGAGCCAACCCAGCACCGTCTCCAGGGCTGAGAGTTCAGCTGCTGCACTGAGCTCTGCTATTTGTCTCAGTATGCAGTACCAAGTAACAGACCCAGTCCTATGCAGCTCAAAGGCACAGTTTATACTGTATACCTCACAGGGAAAAAAACCCCAGAACACACACCTGCACAAAATCCCACCCCCCCCCAGCAACCCAATACTCCCTCAAAGCCCTTGAGCAATTCAACAAAAAGGGAAGGGAAAGGAGGAACAAGTGTAGGAGAATTGCTGTCCCCAGGTCATCAGACCCAGATAGAGAGAACTAGCACAAATTTATCATCCTCAAGGCAACAGAGCAGTAGTCCAAAAATTTAATAAATAAAATATCAAACTAAAGTATGTCCCAATTCTTGCCAGAGCAGTCTGTACACTGTTCCACACCAGGGATGAAGGTGACTTAGGTTTGCAGAGAAATCTGGATAATGAGAATAGTTTCAAGCTATTTGGCTTTCACTGTTTTACGAAACCACGTGTGCTCACATGAAATGGTTATTAGCAAAATCTTTTGCTCTCCTTTGAAATCTACACAATATGTTTGGAACCAAAGGCAGATTAAAACACTGGGTTTACTTCACACACAGCTCATACACCACTACTCTGCAAGAGCCTCCCTTTTCCACTGATCCTTCTGTGATTCCATATCACTAACAGAGACATTATTTAATGCTAGTATTTCTATGCTGCTCTTAAAACTGCTTTTTAGCCAGGCACTGAGCTACTGCAGAATTAAGCTACTGCAGAGTTAAGGGAGAAATGGAAAATCACACACACTTTGCTGGTATGGAGAGATGCTATGTGTGAGAAGGTGATGCCAAGGAAAGCACAAACATGGAGGAGGAATCTCCTGATTTATCTGTCCCATACTAGCTGCACTCCAAGGACATTTAGACTGGAAACAGCCTGTGTCCTGAAGAACACTCATTTCTTGTTTAGTGGTGTCATGGGGCATCAAGGCCAGGTTCCACAGGAGGCAGAAGAGCCTCTGGACTATTCCCCACCAGTACAACAGGGTTTAATCTGAGAAGCATCACAAATGGAGAGATGCAAAGCACCACTGCAGACACTGGCTAAGGCCACCTTCTCCAAGGGCTAAGAGCCACTCCAGGCACTTCAAGACCCTCGTGAGCCCATCACAGAGGAATACACACACACAAAACTGGATGCTCAGACTAGATGGTTTCTTTAACACTAGGCCTAAACAAGCAAAACTGAACATGACTGATCTAAGTGAAAGCAGGGAAATGAAAATCAAGGTGAGTATGGAACTAAAATGAAGCTATCAGACACACTGAGGAAGTAGGAGAGTGATCAAAAGCACTGTGAGGGAGCAGCTTAGAACCAACCTTTTTTCATTGGATGGTACAAATCCGGCTGAGGATCTAGCAGGAGGGAAAACAAAAACAAAAATAGCAGAGAAAGGAGATTAAGAGAGAAAGGAAAAAAGGCTTGTGCATGATTTCTGACTCAGACCCTGGGAAAAGCTCTTAGTCTACAGCTTTACGCTCAGGACTCTGTTCAAGCGTTTTTAAAATAAATACACACGCACCCACCAGCTGTCAACATCCAATGATACAAAAAAATAGATATACATATTTAAAAAAAAAAAAGGGAATTCCTTCAGCCCTTCAACAGGTCACAGCACAAAGATTTAATATTACACAAGAATGGTTTTGTTAAAGACTGAAAATTAATTCCAGAGTCAAGATGCACTGTAAAAACTTAACATTTGCTGCAAAATGAAGAGAGGACAATTTTACAAAGAGAAGAATCAGAAAATCATTAGAACAGCTCAGCAGACATTACTCGCAGCACTACTTCTCCAGTGAGTGAGGGGTTCTGTCAGAGTAACTGCTTTACATCACCCAAAGGGATTGGAGCTTTCTCTGTTCCAGAGAAGGAAAACCACCAGTGAACCCAGGGTTCAGTTCCACATACCTTCACTTTCAGGCAAGGCTGGGAAGGTTTTCACCTGGAATGGGTGGAAAGGTTTGCCATCCAGGGGAATTTCTTCGCTCTCCTCAGAGCTCACTCTGACATCCACCTGGGACTCAGAAATGGAGGATGTGAACTGATCCATGTCGGCACGCTGCTCCTGAAGCAGCTCATCTGAAAGAAATAAAAGGAATTATTACACAGGCTGCATGAAACCTGGCAGCAACAGAGAGGGGCAGATGGTCTGAACCAGGCTGAGGCAGGACTGCAGAGGAACACTGCTCTCAGGGCTGCCAGGTTATTTTATCTTGCATATTTCATCTGGAATTCTCAGTAAAGGCGTTGGTTAGAAATGCATTCAAATTAGGGCCAAGAGGTTTGACGTGGCAAGAGGTTTTGGCAAGATGGGACTAACCTATAAGGGGAGAAAGCATCTGGGTTTTTTTTATGGATCTTTTTCATCTCCCTTAGAGAGACAGCTTTGCTATTCTGAACATTGTTGACTTTCTCTTAAACGGACAGTGAAAATTCTTGGAACAAGCTATTCTAACTGGCTATTTTGTAACATCCAGAACAGTATCTTACCTAAGCCCTAGCCCAAGCGCTTGTTGTTGTGGGCACCCCCTCAAAGGAGGGAGCAATCTTTTGGGAGCTCATTGGATATAAAAACTTGAGAGTCTTAACACAGCAGCATAGGGGCTGGCATACACACTCACCAATCTCATCCTGGATTTCTTCAGCCACATATGGCACCTTGTAGAGCAGAGACAAGCTTTGATTCATCCGTTCCTCAATCACATGAAGATGTGTCATCACCTGCAGATGTAAAAGTGTGTTGGAGTAAGCAAACGCTGTCAGTCACTTCACAGTACCAGTTCTTTCCTTGCTCAATAAAATATCTACTACTGGTGGATCTGACATGGCAGGCAATAGGGGACACAGATCCATCCAGTCCAATTCTCTGACCAATGCGCTCACACTGCACTGGAACTGGCTATCTGTAGACGGTGCTCTCAGGAGTTTGGGAAATGCTGGGAGTAAGAGAGGATTCAGCTGACTCTCATTGTAATCAGCTCTCCACTGCAAACACTAAAATGCCACCAAAGCTGGTATTTCCCATATGCCCAACACAGTCATAATTCATCTCCAGTAGTGGCTTTATTAAAATGGATTATCATTGCTGACTGCTAGAAAAGATATAGGCAAAAGGAGTAGACAGGATATTTTATCAGCTCTGGTTTCAGAACAAAGGTGCCTTTCAAACCAACTGCGGCATGACATTTGTCCTACACCCATTCATTGGCAGCAGCGTTCTCTCTTCCTTTGAGAAATACATTCAAGCTCTGGGCAAGCTCAAATCACTCCTCCTAAGCACTTTAAATCCAGCAGTGAAGTCAGGCCTGACCTGAAGAGGGTGCTGCATAATCAGAGATCAAGGAGAGCAAGGAAAATATTTATGTAGATGCCCAAACATTGCAAAAAGCTAAAGAGTCAGATGGACCTGTTTCACAGTCTGATGCGTTCCTGACCTTTAAGAGCAAGAATGAAAACAACTTAATTCTGCATGTGGCAGCTTGTCAATCCAAAAAATCGACTGAGGAGCTTAAAAGTGCATGTGAAAAGTAAAGTGAATGGAAATTGAACTGTACCACCCACATCCCTCGCATGTCGATTTGTTGACACTGCAGCCTTCAGAATGAATTAAGAACTGTTTGGGGTTTAGCTTAAGAACACAGTTCACACACTCTCTCCTGGGCTGTGGGAGCAGCAGAACGAAGCGCTGGGCCAGGCCGTGCTTGACGTGTCTCTGAAAATGTGACCATGAGAGCCAAGCACCACCACAGCTGCCACCGCTCCTCCTGGGGATGTGCAGCAGTGGGAGAGCAGGAGACATGAGGTGAATGTGCACCGTCACCACTCAGAAACAAGGTGGAACCCATGGAATCTGCCACCTCACAGTGTGAGGTTTGCTTCTGGAAAATCATTGTGACACCACTCTGCCCCTCACCAGAAGTGATAGCATCAGGCTCCAGACCCTGTCCTACCCTTAACCCAGGATATTTCCACCTCCTGGTTATACAGTTATTTAGGTTTTTTTCTTCCTCAGTGCTCATTTCTTCCTCTTGGCAGCACTAGATGAGCTCCACTGCACTGTCTCCCTGCAGCTCTCCATTCTTTCTTCTTCTTGCTTATCTTTTGTGCATTGCAGAATTCAAAGATACTCCAAAAGCAGCATACCAGCCACAAACTGGGACTAGGAAAACATTCCTAAAGCTGCAAAAAGGACAGCGAGTTCTCTCAGAACCAAAGAAACAGCACATCCTTCCAAACAGATCTTTCAGTGTTAACAGACCATTCTTGATCTCAATTTTCAAGTGGCCTTCCAGCACATCTTTCACTATTTTAAAACAAGTGAAAACAAGTATCAAAATAATTCCAAAGAATTCCAGAGTATCTGCAAGTATTCATATAAATACAAAAGCCAGGTTTGAAGTAACATATTCACATATGCTAGCCAGCAGAAGGAAAAGGATCTTCTGGATGTTCAGAAATAAAATACAGCGTAATGGTGTAGTGAGTCTAGCGCTGGTGAAACGCCAGCCCAGAAACAAGAGTTTTCTCCAGGTTTGGTTTGTTTCTAAGTATGATTTCACAGAGGCATGTTCAGCTCTCTTAAGTGGTTTGACAGGGTGTCAATACTCAAAACCAGCCAGCTGATTGGTTCTGTTAGCAGTCCACACAGAGAATCATTTCCGTAACGAATGGATTTTCTCTTTACAAATGGTACAACATAAACCCAGCAAAACAGACTTTCTGAAAAAGCTAACAACATTGATCAAGTACTTGGAAAGGGTTATGATTTGTGCTTGGGAAACCAGGTAATAACGCTGCAGAGATATGAGAGAATTCCCACAAACCACAAACAAAGGCACTATGAAGACCAAGGCTAAGGAAAGAAACACGTAGACACTTGGAAGAAGTGAGGAAGCCTGTTCAAGAAAACCAAGTCCCCAGCAAATAAATTTCAGGGGTGCTTGATAAAAGCCAGCATAGATACTGACCTAGGTCTAAACCCTTCAACTTGTCACTGTGACCAACAATGTATAAAACAGCTTCAATTTTTACCACTGAGTCAGGCACCAAGGAAAACCAAGCAGCGAGCATGTCTGGTGACAGCACAGGAGAGAGGAAGAGCTCCACAAGGATGAAGCTGGCTGTAGTACCCAGAAACACACATCTTGCAGAGCCTCTGACAGCCCCAGGGCTGGGCAACAATGGCTCCCTTGACAGAAACCCCCTCATACCTGAGATTTCATCTGCGCAGCCTTCTCCGGATCCACTGCCAGGACATGCTGGTAGTGGCGGATGGTGTGCAGCCTGTCCTTGTTCTCAGCACGGACGTAGCGCTTCAGGGCCTGCAGGATGCGGTGGGGCTGCAGGACAGGAGCAGGGAATAGGTCAAACCACTGGTATCAACCCAAATCCACAGCTGAAAACAGCACTTAAGGTGTCAGCTTGTTTTGGTGCTGGACAGATCTATCACCTGCACTCACCCCCTGGTTATTTTTTTTAAATTAAGCCTGTTTGATTCAGAACACTTAATTTTAAGTCTGTATGATTCAGAACATCACACTTGATGAACTGTGCCTTATGGACAACAAACAAAGCAGAGGTTTTTTTCCCCAGGCAGGAAGGAGTGGGAGTCAATTACAGACCCACTGCTGAGTCTGCAGCAGCAATTTCCACAATGAAGCAGCTTTCCTAGGAACCAATTCCCAGTTTCTGCAAGTCACAGGCAATCTTCTCACCAAGACATTCCCACCTGCCATCCTACCCAATGCTATCCTCCTGGAAAAATGTGTTGGGAAGAAACTCACACGTGGTGGGTCAGCCTGCAGGGCAGCCAGGTAGTTCTCCAGGGCAATGCGACGGCGATCATTCAGCATGGCTTCCACACGAGCCAGGTGAGTCTCTACCAGCTGCTGCTTCTCACTTGCTGCTTCTTTCTCCAGAGATTTTACCATGGCCTGGAAGTGCTAGAACAAAGAATCTGTGTGAAATGCACTGTGTAATCAACACCATCTGAAACTCCTCAGAACTAACAAATACTGTAAAACTCTATCCAACTGATTTACAGTTAGGAGAGAAAGGCATGGAAAAATGCTGAAGCAGATTTCATCTCTGCAAATTCAGTAGTGATAATTTGCCTTCCAAACTTCCTTCACATTTCAAAAGTCTGAAGAGTAAAAAGGACCCTGCACACAATGACCATGCTGGAGATGGGAGATCCAGGCTATAATGAAGAACTGACACAATATTAATTCTTTCCCTCAACCCTGCAATATGACAACAGGATTGATCCCTTCAGCCTGGAGCCATTAATTTGAATTTACAGAAGTTTACAAAGGTATTGCATAGCGGATTTTTCATCAGCACACCTTCAGATCAAATCTCTCTGTATTCTTTTAGAAAGGTCATAACCCTCATTTCCAAACCAACCAGAATAGTCCACTAAGTGTTATATTTCAACAGAGATAATGACAAACTTTTGCATTTGCACATAGTTCCAAACAATGACTTATATTAAAAAATGCAGAGAGAAAACTGTGTTCCAGGATAAAATCCAAAATGGGCTTAAAAGCTGGAGTCAATCACTTTGTTGCATATTGGTATGAGAGAAATTCACAGAGTTGTCACTGCCAGAAGAGCCTTCCCCTAATGATCCCACACTGCAATCTCTCATTAACTTCACAGTCCAACTGAACTCTCCTCATAAGGCACAAGATTAGCATTTTGGCAACAAATCAACTTTATCTGCTGTCTAAGCTGTTTTCACTAAGTCTGGCCAAGCAGGAATGTGTGCCCAGAGAGCCAGAGCTGACTCTGAACCAGGTTCTGAGGCCAGTGTTAGTGCTAAACAGGCCAAGGTCTGAAATTACAATTTGGCTCCACTGTTGCTACTCTTGAGGAGCAAGATCACTTTCTACTAGTGTGTGTAGGAAAGGACCTGGCATAGTATCAGATCATCTCCAGTTTTAAGAACAAAGCAAACAACTGAATCAACAGCTCCTCTAAAAGGCAGCTGTTGACAGAGCAGGAAGGCTGCTCTTGCATCTCAGTTGTCTTTTAGCTCTGAATATTGCCATCTTTCTCAGTAACTTTCCCCTTTAGGTCCTTCCACTCTTACCTGGATCAGAGTCTGCCTTTCTGCCTTCGGGAGATTAACAGCCTGGTGCTCTGCTTCCTCCCACTCCTTTTTCACCTGGACAGGAAAAGGACAGAACCCATGAACAAGACCGAGATTTACATCTTTATGAGCTGATTTGCCCTCACAGGCAGATCCTAGCAGAGCCTGGCTGGGTTTTGAAGGCACAAAAGAGCTGTTGTGGGGTTTAAGCCTAGCACTTAATCCCTCTGAGTAACAAGCCAAGCTTCACAGAATCCCAGAAGGGTTTAGGCAGCAAGGGACATCCAAGATGAGCTGGAAGGCTCATCTTGTTCCACCCCCTGCCATGGGCAGGAACACCTTCTACTAGGCCAGATGGCTCCAAGTTCTGCCCAACCTGGTCTTAAACACTTCAAGGTATGGGGAATCCACAACCTCTCCAGGCAACCTGTGCCAGGGCTTCAGCACCCTCTGAATAAAGAATTTCTTCCCAGCATCTAATGTAATTTCTCCCTCCCAACACTGGAGACAAATCTGACTCCCATGGTGTGGTCATACTGAAAGAAACACAGAGAAGGCTGGAAACTGGAAAGCAAGTCACTTCACCACCAGTTTTTCCAGTAAAACAGAGGCAGCAACCTGACACACAAACAACCCCATAGCACAAAGCCTGAAGGCTGACACTCACCCGGTCCATGCGGTTGTGGTGCCTGACCTCCAGCTGCTCCTTGGCCTTCTGGAAGCGGGCATGCTCATTGTCATCAGCAGGGGTTTCGAAGTAGACATCCACATCATCAGTTGGCACTGCATGAAGAGGGAAGGGTAAGCAGGGTAAGAAACCCGCAATCCTGGACTGCAGAGTGCAAGGAGAGGAATCTCCATGCCCGCCTAATAAATAGTCTGGCAAGCTGAGCCTACTGGACCACCACCTTCCAAAGCCCATTTTGGAATCTTTACAGTGCCACTTTTCTGTCCAACATCAGCACCATCAGCTCAAATGGCAGCGATGACCACAGCTCCCAGCACTGTTTGGCCTGTGCAGTGCTGAGGTGAGCAGCACTCAGCTCCAGAAACACAGTGCCTGGCATGACAGGATGAAGAACTACTTTTCCCTTCCCTTCCACATTGGCTTTGGATGGTTTAAGTGACATTCTGTGCATTAGCTGTTCGCTGACAAGCTGGCTCCAGACATCATTAATATGATTAGGGAGTTTGACAATAAATCTGCACAAAACCAGTATTTTACACTTCAAACCTACCTTCCCTACCAGATGCATGATGCAGGACTTACAGGCAATGATATCAGACAAGACAGCAACAGAAGGAGACTCAGTGTGACAAAGTGACTTGTCCAATACACTGGATGGTTTGTAACTTCAAGACATCCAAATTCAACAAGGGGAAAAACAAAGTTTCAGAACTGGTAACTTCAAGTATCTACAGAATCCACATCAACTGCTCTGTATTCCATACTGCAGTTCAGGAAGTGCTGAAAGTGCTCCTATGCTATGGTTTTAGGAACTACACATCCCAGAGATTTTCTGAAAGACCTGTGGCAAACATGATGCACTCTGTTGTCACCCTTCGCCTGAGGGAAGGCACAAAGGGACAGTTAAGACAACCTGTCATCCATATTAGTTATTCAAGTGGAAAACTCCCAACATGTCATCAAAGACAACATGCTTCAGAAAAAAATTACCTGGCACTTCAGCATGAGCACTGGGTAAGAGTTCAGCATGCACTGCACCCACCAACCTTCCCTCTAACTAGGGGGAAATAATGACAATATACAACAGAGGCACTACTGTTGCGTGCAAGGGACAATGTCATATCCGTCCCATATTCTGGCCCTGCTCCTGGCATTTCTGAACCAGGCTTGGACACAGAACTCTCTTCCCAGCCCCAAATCCTTCTCTAACAGGACAATCTTTTGTACAAAAACCTCCTGACATCCACATCTTTTCTTTCACCGCTTCACTTAGATCAGCCCAATCTAAATCACTTGCATGAAGCACATTTCATAAACAGGATTATGGCTGTATACTCAGGCTGCCAAGCCCCAGATAACACAAAAAGCCTTTCAAAAGCTTTAATGGTAGCTGAAGTGGAAGTGCTGGAGTTCAATAATAAGATTAATAAGGAGGTTAAAATGTTTTTGGTAGTTTTATCATCTGACATAAAAGCCAGCTGAAACTGGTGCCAAAAACCTTAAGCACTCAAAAACTCAGAGATTGAGTTGTGATTTGTATTTCATACCAAGCTGAAAATGGGAATCTGAATTCTATACTACTGGTATGATATTTTCCAAAATTAAAATAGCAAGAAAATGCCTACTACCAGGAGAACAGTAGCCTGCTTTTCAGGACCTACTGTCAAACATATGCATGGTAACACGACTGGAGAAAGCAGTTTCCTTATAGATATTTTGAATAAAAAGCCAGTTAGGCAAGAGGTCAGAGACAGCCCCTGGTCCCTGTTATAGATCTGGAAGAGGACAGCTGAGCCCTCAGCAAGAGCTGCAAGTCACCAGGGAGCACAGACAGCATATGGTGAGGGGCACTTTCCCAAGGAACAATCACCCTATGGACCTAGGGAAGTGGAGACAGGAGGAGACTGCTGCAAAGGGACAGACACCAGAACCAAAGGAATAAGCTACAGATGGGTCCTCTATTGCCCAAGGGAAGGAGAAGACACCACATGCTAGACAGACAGTGGCCAGCTGCAAAAGGCCAGTGGGAGGCAGGACTTACTCATCTTTTTACACACAGCCATACAATACTCCTCTGACTCAAAATTGTTCCTGTTGCCTCCGCAGCCTCCATATATAAAGCGAATGCATTTTCTCTTGTTAGGATCGAAGTACCAACGAGGCATCACAGCCCGGCAGGGCCCTGTCATGGCCTCCTGGGAGCAGACAGCTGTGTGGAAATGGGTGAGAACATGAGCTGGTGAGGAGCACAGCCCTTGCCGAGCGATTTATATGATGCAGAGGTGGCTCTACTTCATCCCTTCCTCTGAGGCACTGGCCTCAGCATTGATACTGCACCAACCCAAGGGCTTCTGTCAGTTTTGGGGGGTTAAACATTCCAATGCTTCTATCACAAGCCGGGAGATGCCTGCACGTGGTGCTTTGGAGATAGCCAAGCAGCTCACTCTGTCTCTACATGGAGCTCTCACCTGTGAGAGATTTCTCCAGAGCCAGGGGCTGGGACAACAGGAATCTGTTCTGCTGATGTCACAGCATTATGCCCCAGCTGCCCCAGTGAAAGACTCTCCACCCTATAAAATCAGCAGCATGAAAAGCCAGTCAACTAGGGATGCTTAAAGCATCAAAGGATGTCCAGTTCACAGCGCTCTGCCTGGACAGACACTTAACATCTTACAGGGCAGGTACAGAAGTGAAAAAGCAGGCTAAACAAAGGGTTTGATTTCCATGCCAGCCTCAGACACTGAGGTTTTAAGGTCTGAAACATCTATGCACCAAATATTAAAACTCCATGTAGCCATGGCACGTGGAATGCTTCATGGTGAGCCAGCAATAGCAACTGGGCTGTTTTGAGGCAAGAGAGCAGATATAATGGATAAATTAGCAACTGTTCATGGTACTTCAGGGAAAAAAAGACTGTATACCCCCAAAACAGACACCCCAATCATATCCTTCCAAGCCTCTTACAAAACCTGCAGATCTGCAGCAGCCCTGTACACATGAGCTAAGCCTTGTTTCAGCAAGGAAAATTATCTGCAGCATGCTGGCATTTTACCAAAAAGATGCGAGAACTGCTGGCAATGATTCAGTGATCTGTAGCTAATTTAATTTCATTCCCTCTCCGCTCCTCCCTCCTCTGCAGACACTTCTACATGCAAAGTGTAGGACATCACATAATGCTGAGGCATCACACCATGAACCCTCTGCAAAGGCATCTACCACTCAACAAAAGCTGCCACCAGCACAGCAGATTATACTACTGCAGAAAGTCTATCTTAACATATAATAAAGTTGGGGCAGTTGTACTGGCTGACTTGCTTTTGTGGAAGAGAAGTATTTTGCAAAGGCAGCACCAAGGATGTTTCTCACCCTTAAATGACCAGACAGCACATCTGCAGAGCATGGCCCACCACTTTCAGCTTCCTCACTTTAAGCTGATATAAACCACCAGATTTTAAATTTACAGTGTACCCCAAATGTCCCTTTAAGATTTTCCAGATATAGCTTTTCTGACTCATCACTGCACCTTCATGAGGTGCTTGTTCAACACACCACACGCTGGGCTTCCCGCCAGCAAAACTGCTGTTTATCTGGAAACATATGGCCCATGCTCTAGAGAGTTAATTTCAACACTTGAAACAAGCATCATCAGCTTTCCACTGTTTGCTAACTTATTTGGCAAATAAAACTTCCAAGTGGCACTTATTGACTTGATCAAACCCCCATCACTAACTGACAGCCAAAAGGAATGATGTCAAGGGAGCAGGAGGCCTGTGGACTGGAATGTGTCTTACATTTCATGTCACTGCTCACTTCTTTTTCAGCCATAGCCTTGTCACTGCTGGGCTCTGTGGGGGTCTCTTCATTGTAGTCATCAACCTTGTAGCTGTCATAGTAGTAATCACGGTCTTCCACCACATCCTCCTCCTCCTCTTCCCCTTCATCATCCTCATCCTCATCTTCCTCCACAGCTGTTCCTGTGAAGTCTTCTACACCTGCCTCTGTAGGGAACTCACTGGAGGGAAACAGATAAATTAGGGAGTAAGGTTAAGGCTAATCACTTTGGTGTACCTGAATAGTGATTTTTTCCATCTGTTCTAGAAACACTAGAAATGGGAAAAAATAAGTGTAGTAACTGTTAATTAGCCCATCACTCAGAGCAAGTGGACATCCCTTATCACAGACACTCCTGCTGCTGCAGGCAGAGTTTCTCCATGGCTCTGGCTTCATGCACCCTCTTTCCATTTTTCAGTAAGTGCAAGTCTAACCTTGAGTCAGGCTCCTACTATAGAATCCTGGAGTGGTTTGGGTTGGGAAGGACCTTTAAACCCATCTTGTTCCATCCCCTCCCCTCAGCAGGGACACCATCCACTATCCCAGGTTGCTCCAAGACCCATCCAACCTGGCCAGGGATGGGTCAGCCACAGCTTCTCTGGGCAGCCTGTGCAAGGGCCTTACCATCCTCAAAGGGAAGAACTCCTTCCCAATATCCCATCTAATGCTCCCCTCCGGCAGGGTGAAGCCATGCCCCCTTGTCCTGCCCCTGCAGGCCCTTGTCCAAAAACCCTCTCCAGCTCTCTTGGAGCCTGTTTAGGCACTGGAAGGGGGTCTAAGGTGTCCCTGGAGCCTTCTCTTATCGAGGTTGAATGACCCCAACTCTCTGCAGGTATGAAAAGAGAGGGGGTGTTTAGCTCTTCCACTAAAAGGGGGACTGCAAGGTCATTTGTCCTCTTCAGGCTTAGGACAGTTCTTTAGGAAACTCAGAAGCACAGAAATTTGCTCAATCGTCACTACAAGGGAGTTGCTGTGTGAAATATTCCCAAGCAGCAGCTTCATGTGCAAAGCTGTCAACATCTACATCAGTAAGAACTCTACCTCTTGTAAAGGTCATAGTCTTCATCCTCATCCTCTTCCTCTTTGGACAGAGCCTCATCCACAACCTTGGTCTGAGGACAGCACACATATTCTGTTCCATGGAACTGGTCCACTCCGCAGGGCAGCAGCATCCCATAGCTGTGCAGGATCATCCCTTCTGTCAGACAGGCCTGAAAGGGGAGCCCATGCACATCAGTTCAGCATCATGCTCTTCCTTTGGATAAAGTTCAAGTTTGCTTATCAGAGATCTCGAGAGTGGTTTAAGTTTTACAGCAAAACCAGCAACATATGACCTAAATCTGAATATCAAAGGAGAGTGGAAACTTGTAGTGCAAAAAAACCAAACCAAACCAAAACCAAAACAATAAAAAAAACCACAAAAAAACCCCCGCCCCCCAAAAAAAAACAAAAAAAAAAAAACCAAAAAAACCAAAACAAAACAAAAAAAACAAAAAAAACCCCAAGCACAAAAGTCCCAAATTCAGAAACACCCAGTACTTCCTGGTGTTAATATTTCACACCCCAGCCCCAACAATTGATGGTTTGTCAACCCAGCAAAGTTCAGGGAAAAAAACCTAAACATTTTGCACCAACTCAACGGAGAACACTTGAAAGAACCAGAAAGGGTGTTTTCTTTTCTGGGCATTTCATTAAACTTTATATATTAAACTTTACATTGTAGCAAGCGAATAATTGCTCAAATGGACTTTGTGTCAAGATTATTTTGCCATGCTGCAAGATGAAAATCAATCAGATAATTCAAGAAAAAGTCAAATGTAAAGTACATGTCAATATTATGTCTATACACTTCTCCTAAGCAAAGGAAATACTTGGCTTAGAGGTGCCTGGAGAAGAACAAAGAAAAGTTTTATTATACCCATCAGAACGCTTTTGTGCTTTGCCTTGTTACAGCACTGATTTTAAATGAGACAAATACTGCTGAAAAGTTCTCCAACTACATTTAAAGTAAATGATTTTTCAGTTTTCTAGACATTAACAAGTTTAACCTAAATTAAAAGACAATTCCTCTAGTACACCTTTATTTAGACGGACTTTTGCTGACATGATTTTAAAGAAAAAGGAATTTTAAGTGGAGCATCCTTAACATCATCTGGTTAAGAACTGGTCTTTGTGTTGCTGTTTCTGCAATTGTTACTTTTACAAAAAGGAAAATGTGCACATTTTGTGATGATCTTGTTTCTATTACCGCAGCTTCAAATGGGAGTGCAGAGCTTTTGCAACAGTTTAGCTAGTCAGATTAAAAAAAAACACCACCCCCCACCAAAACCATGGGCTAGATTTATTCTGAGAATATAATCCATCTCTTATGTAAAATCTCCACTAATCAGTCCCAACAAAACTCAGATTGCTCCCAGGCAAGCCCTCCCAACCAAATCCCCAGCAGCAGAAGGTACATTAAAGCAAAATGTGCAAGAAAAATAGGAACTATCCTACGCCCACTGTATCTCCCTGGGGAGAAAAAAAAAAAAAAAAAAAGGGATGAACCATTGGTTAAAGCAGTATCCCAGAGAGCTGATTTCAATTCCTACCTCTGTGATATGGATAAGCTATTTAGGACAGCTTTTCATGAAGAAAAACTCAATTGCTACACAGCATTTTTAAGTCACTTGAGTACTTTCAATTTTTTATTTTCTTGCTGTGTGCCTCAGTTCATTGACAGGAACATGGGAACGGCAACACAGAGAGAAATACTGCTATGCTCCAACAACAGATCCAGAATGAACACTCCTGTCCCAGTGGCTCCATTACCTCCTTTGCCACAGTGTGCCAGTGCTGGTGGCTTTCACACACATCCATGCGCTCCTTGTGGAAGAACCGGCACTTCTCGGGCACCAACAGGACATCACTTACAAACTCACCCACTGAAAAACACAATGGCCACAGTTCACATTCATATAGCATCCAACAGCAAATACAGCCTCCCGGAACTCCCCCAAAGCGCACTCTGCGCATGTGTGTAGATGTTTCCGTTGAAATACCAATTCAGGCAGAAATACCAATTTAAATGCAGCCATTTTTGCTTGCCAAGCCAAGTTTCTTGGCCAACACACCTATTAATGGAGTCTTACGCTGGTCAAATGCCAGTACACCCACTAGAATTACTCATTTTCTGGCTCGAAGATAAGGATCAGGAAGAGAGCAAAGCAGGCTCAAAATTTTAAAGAAATCTTTATTAACAGAATTAAAAGAAAAAAAAAAACCCAGAAGAAATCTTCAAAACACTTCTCTGACCCCCAACTTTTCTTTCTTTTTCCCACTGACAACGTAAAGAGATAAATTTGGTATTTTCAGCCAGTTTGACACTTTTAAAATAATCTTTCTTCAGTCTACTTAGGAAGAGGAGTCTCTCCTGCCATGCCACGGAGACTTTTCCTCAAGAAACAGTTCTCTTGTGGTTTTCATTTTCACGGATAGCACCTTCTGGGAAATCTGCAATCGTGAAGTCCCTACCACATTGTGGTAGTTTTCCCACGACTACCACCATGGGTCATTTCAGTTATTGGGGTGCAGTTTTAAGGATGAGCTGATCTAGTATAGAAAAAAACGTTCTCCTCTTTTATCTCTGGGAACAGGGGCTTTCTTCTTCCATCCCTGGGGCAAGGTTTTGCATCTCTCTCATTTCTCTCTGTTCAAGCTTCTCATTGGATCACAGCTACTTCAACATCTGCTTGCTTCAACACAGGTGCCTCTGCTCATAGTTGTGGTGAGAATGCTATGCAGATCCCCCACTGCACTCCATGAGTTACAGGGGGAAAAAAAAAAAGCCTGGTGTATCAATTTTATCTTCACCACAGCCTTACAAGAGAGTTTCAGCCCAAGACTAAGGCATCCCCTCATCCTCCTCCCATCTGGGATTTGACTCTTTCTTCACTGACCTTGGTGTCTCCATGTTTCCTTTACAAGTCTTCCCTTTCTCTCACTCAAGAGAGGATTGATGTCAGCCAAGTTTCATCTGTGCACTAAGAAGAGTTAATATCTCGTCCGAGCCTGCGGATGGCCATGCGATCTGTGCCGGGCAGCGGCCGCTCTGGCTGCACACCTGTTCTCCGGCCCTGCCGCGGTCAATCCCGGCCACGGGGCTGCAGGGCCGCCTCTGCTCTCGGCCGCGTCATTTTCTGCGGTGCCAGCAGAACGGCTCGGTGGCTCGCAGCCGGAGCGGGGCCCGGCTTTGCTCTGGCCAAAGCCAAAGGGAGCCGGCCTGGCCCGCCGGACGTGGCTGGAACTCGGCACGGCAGAATCTCAGCCAAGCCCAGGCTGAGCCGGCCGGGCTGCGCAGCGCAGCGAGCCCGGCCTGGCCAGCGCTGCAGCAGAGCAAGGCCCAGCCCGGCCCCGCAGCAGGACGGGGCCTTGCCCTGCACAGGTCCAGTTACCTGCTTAAAAGCCAGAAACAAGAGTTTTCTCCAGGTTTGGTTTGTTTCTAAGTATGATTTCACAGAGGCATGTTCAGCTCTCTTAAGTGGTTTGACAGGGTGTCAATACTCAAAACCAGCCAGCTGATTCGTTCTCTTGGGTCCAAAGGAAGCTGCCAAGGTCCTTACATGGAATCACTTCTGTAGCTCGTGGATTTTTCCTTAACTAAAATCCAAACTATATTAAACCACGACAATGTGCTTGAGGGTTTGGTATAGTTTTAAAAGACACAAGTCACACCAGCTCTAAATATTATTTATGAGAATCTAAAAGAAAAATAGAGCCTCAGAGAGTCCAAGGTAAAATGATGAGCATGGGGTGATCCTGCTGACCCCGAAAACTGAATGCAGAGTTTACAGTGCAAGTTAATAAACAATTGTTCTTCCATGAAAGGACTGAGTGAAGATATTTCACCCAAATCTTTGGGAAGGCTGTGTCTGCACTTAGCAGTTTTAAACTACTGAATCACCTATTTTCAAATGAGCTGCATCATACCAAAGTTCCTTCATGCTGTCTGCTGCTGTAACAGCCTGGAAATTTTTCTATGCTGAGAGTGTTATCTATGTTTTCAGTATTTGAGCAAGTCTTGCTTGGTTTTGTTTTGTTTTTTTTTTTTCCAGATGTTTAACTGAAGATCAACCGCAGCACATTCACTACCCTAACCAAAACACAGAGAGCTGGAAAATAAACTACAAAAAACTACACAGCCTAAATTTGCTGAGAGTCAGCAAATACATTGCATCCAGTATCTAGATAACCACAACCTCACTAGCATGAGGAAGCTTTGGCACAATCCTTGTTCCAAACCCAGACTTTCGCTTTCGAGGAAGATGGGAGAGAATCTCTCTGCTGTACAGACTCTACTTCAGTTGGACTTAAAAGCTATTTAGCCTAAATTTCCATCATCGTTCAGCTTGATACCAACACATATGAATTACAGATCAGAACTAAATGAGCATCACGTCCTGTTCTTATCCAAGAAGTCCCAGCAAACACTGCCACTGGAATCCAAACATGAAATTTCTTCCAAGCTGAGGTTTTTCTCTCTTTCTTGCAGATTCAAATGCTGCATTCATTAATTGTAAAATAAGGAGAGAGCTAGATACTCTGAGAAGACCAGGAAAAGATTTTCAGCCCAAGAGTTTCAAAGCAGCATTCCCTGTACACATGACCAGCAGCTTTAGGAGCTGTTTGTTAAAACTGGAGAAAAGCTTTTAAGTCAAAGACTATTCCTCACAGGAAAAGACTTTCAGAAAAGACTTTTCCACAAAGCAGAATTCTTAGTCAAACCAATCTTTCACACCATCTTTTCAAATTGTATTTTAAATATTGTTTGCACGACCAATTTTTTTTGCAGCTCCTTACTGCTGATACTAACCAATCATGGATACGTCTACAAAGTACAGAGAAGTTAAATAGTTTAGAGTTCGATTACCTAATAATTGAAGGCAACGAAATCCAATTACCTTCATCATCCCTTTGCAATTACTTAGATTTTAAACTAAAAGAGAGATTGTATTTTTCCCATTTTCTCATCTCAAAACAGGCCAGTTAGATTTTTGAGTTAATAATCATTCATCCTACCCTATCAGGAAAGGTTTAAATGCTTCTGGTAAGAAAAGTAAAACTAAGCAAACTTTAAAACCAAGGGACTCGGTTCTGGGGGCTGAAGGCAGAAGATTCATGGGTTCTTCTCTTCACTTTTGAAATATAAAGGAGTTTTCCTTATCGGGGGAGGGGTAGGGAAGATTAAATAGGGTATGGTGACAGGCTCCTACCTCAAGGTCCCCTGTGTATTAATGCATCAAGGAAAACACAACTAAGAAAGGAAACAAAATCCCACAGTTTGACTATAACCCCAGAGAAATGCATCATCCATTCGTAACAAGTAATTTGTAGAGTGCTGAAGACAGAGATTTTATAGACATGTGGACACCAGACTTGCAACTCAGATCTGAAAACCAAAGCTGCCTCACAGGCTGGGGCCTGCAAATCATGAACACTGTGAAATACACTAATGAAAAACCTGAATAAATAGTTTAATGCTAATCAAATTTTAGGGCAGTGTCAGTAAAATCAGCTTATTTTTCAACTGCAGAATAGGGTTGGGGAATGATTATTTCTAAGAGATGACTCCTTATAAATCCAGGGATCTTGCTTTCATCCTTCTTTCCATCAGAAGTTCTCCTTATGAGCAGGAGATGATCATAAGGAGATCCTCATGATCCAGTTGGGCATGGTTGTTTCCAAAACCTGAATTTCAACATCTATAAAGACAAGCACCTTTCTCCCAGGATGTGTCCACAATAAATTTTATGTTTAATGAAGTACTTTATGATCATCTCACGGAAGGCATTACATAAAGGACAAAGCACACACATGGTTCTGCTGCTTTGCTGGTATTATCCCATTTCAAATCACACGATAACCTGAGATATGGACACAAATTATGAAAACTGGTTCCTACTGAATGCTCCCAGCAACCGGTTGGGAGCATTCAGTATGCAGACTCTCCCGAGACTTCTTACACATCTTTTCCAGCAGATAACTGAAAAGAAAGCCACCTGAGACTAAGCTCACTCCTAAGAACACACAGTGCAGTGGGGCAGTGCAATGTCACCCACAACCTACAGGTCAGAAGTCACAGTTAACCAGTTAAAACATGCTGCCTCATTCCAGTGAGTGGGGGGACATTCTGGAAAGCACCATGAAATCCATCACGGTTTATCTCATATTCTTTCACAGTTCAAAATGGGGACAGGAGATACAGCTGCAAGAAAAAGAGCCTCTTTGAAACAGCAAAGTTTAAATATAGCCACTGAAATAAAATAGAGATCTCTTGCCAAGACCAAGCAGGAAGCCTGAGCACACTGAGCATTTAAGTCTCCAAGGCAACAAAATATTAAAGCTTCACAAAAATAGGATCAAAGTATTAAATCCCAGTGTCTTTGTGGTACTCAGATACAACAGTCTTCAGGTTTTTATGGCATTTGCAGAGAGAATGGGGATTTGTTTCTCATGCCAGGCACCATTATTCTACCACAGCTGTTACCAAGCTGTCGATCTGCCCCAGAACGGCAGAGTTCCATCTTGTGGAAAGATAAACATTTCAGAAAAAAAAAACAGTGGAAGGTGTGGAAACGACAACCTGACACAAGACAAGCCTAACAAACTGAGTTGCTCTCTCTGTAAGAACCCAGGAGGCAACTCCTTGCTTCTCCCACAGAAATGCACAGCACACCCACAGCACACACTCACCCAGGCACTTGTACGGCACGACGATGTGAGTGTGGTCCTTGCACTGCTTCTTCCCACGCTTACACCAGCTGTCAATGCTGACGGGCTGGTTGGCTTCTACCACGTTGGTGATCTGAAGGTCTGGGTACATCTGGGGAACAGCACAGACAGAGAGGTTTCTCTCCAGGAAGGACAGAGAATGTGCAGAGCAGCTCCTACCAGAGTAGTGAGGCTGATTCTCTACAAAAGAACAACTCCAACTTAGGAACAAGTTGGAGTTTGCACATGGACACACAACTCTGCTCTGGATCAAACTCAGTACAGCCAGAAACATAAAAAAGCTCCAGCTGTCTGTCACACAGGGCTTCAGAAATAGATATGCCACTGCCTTGAAGCAGGAGAAAGCCAGGTAAGGGCAAGAGCCCTCACTTGGCACTAAGCTGAGAGGTCTGGATTTGCACAGCAGTGGAGGAGGAGCATTTGGGTATTTGGGTTTGGAGGAGATGTAGCTGTTTAATTCTTTCTGGAGCAGCACAATACCCCCTGGAACAGCAATCACCAAAAGGGTTTAGTAACCTCTTCAGACTCTCTCATCACTTGTCAAATTATGCACCCACCTCCTCAGGTTTCCTCGTGCCTGGTCCATTTATGATGCATTAATTTGATCCTTACGCTCTGGTCAAGTTCTAAAGTCCAGACACTGACTTTATATATAGGTTTCTACCACATGAAAAAAATGCAGCCCCAGTTATATCAGCCTTGTAAAACAGTTTAAAAAGTTTTCCAGTCCAGACACAGTACATTCTGTTGCTTTCCCATTAAAAAAAATACACTCCTTGTGGTATTTTATGTGCCTGTCACCTCAGAGGAGCAATTAAAGACACTGGACAAGACCAATATGTTACAGCATATCTAGAACACATTAGGAGATGATTATATCTTTTTCAATAAAGTCTAAAGAGCTTAAAAATACCTACAAAATTTGATTAAAATATTTTTCTAACATTCTGCCTGATCTAAACACATCACTAAGAACAGCATAGCCACATTCTAACTAGAATAGGTGTCAGGTTCCATTTTACACAACAGAAAGCAGATACTGGTTAACCAGCTCAGGGGCAGAACACTGGGGTAAAGTCCTGCAAACAGATGAAGATACCTCAGACTTACAGACCAAGGACCTTCTGTGGCAGTGTCAGCTGATCTGAGGTAGCTTCTAAATCCCACTGCAGTGTCCTCCCTGCTCTTCCTGGACAATAACACAGCAGGACAGTACAGAGAACTGGGCTAGGCAAAAGCAAGTGCATCTCCTGCAGGATTAATTTGCTACTGAGCAGCTAAACTGGAATCCACTTCCTCCACAGCAGTGAAGATTCAGAAACTCTCACCTCCTGGCAGTATTGCAGAATCTCCTCCTTTCTTCCAAAGCAGCTCTTGGTTCCAGAAGTGTCAGGTTCCCATTTCCCAGTCTGGATGTTCACATGCATATTTAGCTTCCCGCAGAACATGGCAATTTGAGGTTCTGCCACTGCAAACCCTGTCCCAGCATTGGCTGCAAGGGCCTGTGAAGACAAATCAAAACAAAACAACTTGATTACATTATTTGATCAAAGACTCCACAACACAAAAGAACCAGGAACCCTCTGGCATCTTCTCAGACAGCTCCTGCTTGATCCAGAATATCAACAGAGTCTTGCAAACTATTTTGTAACATTCCCTGAGATGGTGAGCCCATCCCAAGTTTTCACCAGCAAGGCGTTTGTTTTCCCAAACCCTGTTTTTTATAATTGAAACAACAGCTTACCAAAACCAAGAGTAATTCCCACTAAAAGGCTGCACCTACATAGACTAAAACGTGATGTCTGAAAAACTTAGCAAATAATTAATACTAATAAATTCTGGCAGAAGGACCTCTGTGACATTACACATTAGCAGGTATTACTACTACTAATAATAAAATAACTGCATCCCACTGCAAGAATCCTGCTTTTTTGATTTTTTGCTCAAACATACAAATAAAGATAATTTCTACTGAATCAGAAAAAACAGCTATGAAAACCAGCTTCTCAAAGGATTGTGTCCCATTCAGTGCACTCTTACGGGGAGCTGTTTCAGATGTGTATTCTGTGCACTTCCCAGACTGCACCAACAGACAAGAACCTGACAGCCCAGACCCACATTTGGGTCAAACTGCAGACTGATCAATGAAAACAAGGTCAGGGTCCCTTTCTGAAATCTTGCTGGCTGACCAAAAGAGGAAAAGAAGAGTAAATTAAATTGCAGACCTTTTTTCTGAGAAGACCAAGTGGATGCTGGGAGCTGAACATGCTCTCCTTAAATAACTACTAGCTGCTGTAAAACAGAAAGAGGCATAAGGCAAAAAAAACAGATGAACTCCAAAGCTCTTTAAGGTGTTTAGGGGAATAGAATCTATTTCAACGTCTCCAGATAGAAACGGCAATGCACAGAGTCTGCTGGCCTTAAGCTGCTTTTCCTGGCAGGCAACACAACCCCAGGCTACCAGTCCTGCCTTCATATTTAACTGTTTGTGCACTGAAAAATGCATGAGTTACTGTGGGCACTGTTCACTCCCTACCACCTGCAGACCCCCATCAACTCTTATCAACAGCTGTGTGCTTAAAGGAAATAAAGGGAGTAAAGAGTAGAATTCAACTGGACAACTTCTTTTTGCAGCTCTTAGCCACAGGATATTAGGAAAAATAATATCTTTTTGTAACTATTACATTTAGCCCATTTTTTCCCTTCCCCTTATCTCTCTGCCTGGAGATAACACATTTCAACACTCAGAAAGTCAAGGATTGTTTAGTGCTGAACAGAAGATTAGTGCTTGGAAGACAAAGCCAACCTGAGGCACAAAAGGACAAATTCAAGTATTAACTGCAGAAAAATTACTCCCTGAGTTTTAAGTACTATTCACCCATGCATCATTTAAGAGAAACAGTCTTATACAAGGGTTTTTACTAACAAACTCCAACTCCGACCCTTCCAACCAACTCCGACCTACAGATGCTCATGACAGCATGTTTTAGCACAGACCACAAAGTAATGAAATACCAAACTACATGTAAGAGATATTACAGCGTTGATGTCCCAGTATGAAAATGCTGCCAAATTCACATTCACAGTAAACATAGGTTTACTGTCGGTACGTTTGTTGTACTCTGTCCTAAGGAAAAATGAGTCACATAGTCCTGTACCTCCAGGTACAAGAGGAACTCTGAGGAATAGACTGAGGTTAGGAATATGGTGCAGTAACTTGGTTCTTGCAGAAATCAAACCTTTAATAAACATCTTACAAGTGCACACACCAGAACCTGCAACAGGTCTTGCACCACCCTCCTGCCTTATGTCTTTTCAGAAGACAGAAGCAAATGTAGAATGATCCTTCAGAACTCCCTAAACACACAAACTTGTTAAGAGGCCATTTTTATCTCGCTCCAAACAAACACCATTTTGGTACCGACAATCATTTTCCAGAGAGCACAGGACCCAACACGCAGGAAACAATCCCCAAAACAATTTTGTTTGATGACAACATCATAAGCACATCCAAGTTCCAACCCTGGGAAAAAAATGAAAAGAAATGCAGATCAAGAACCCAGGAAGCATTAACCCTTGTAAGAACATGGGGCATCAAAAGAGAATAAATATATGTGCTATGATGGCACTGCTGATGCCTGAAATCTGCCTCCTTCAAAGCAAACTTAACAAGTCTGCAGCACAATAAAGGAATTTCGTGAGCAGGAGAGGTGCAGGATCCACTGAGAGGCAGAAACATGCATAAGTAATCCATTCATCACACTTCCTGCATGAGCAAACTCCTGTTCAAACACATACCAACCTCCTGAAATCATGACCACCCCCCCTTATTTACACACTGATTCGAGGCAGTGTTTGTTTTTGCTGCCTCTCCAGCTTGCTCCCTGCAAAGGTATCATTCCTCCTTCTTGGATTGCTCACATAGCTTGCATATCAGTCGAGAGCTGTTGCCGTAGCTACCAGAACATGCTAAGCCCCAATTCACAGCTGAACAAACTAGACTAATTACTTGCTTGATTTCATCACTTTTAATCAACCAGCAGAAATCTTCTCTTGAATTGTGCTGTTAGGTGAGTTAATGAAGTTTGAGATACATGAGTTGATTCTTTAACCCCAGGACCTGCAAGGCAAGGTTTTTGAGCAATGGGCTTCAATTTTTCCTCCACTAGCAATCCACTCCAACCCTCAATCATGTAAGTTATTTAATTTAGTACATTAATCTCATTTTAGCTGTAACGAGAGAATACAGCACCTCCAAGCTTCATGGATGCCACACCTTTAACACTAACACTTAAACAGGCAAAAAGGTCACCTTTTGGGACCAAGGAACTTTCTGACGTTTCCCACAATTGCCTTCAGTGTATGAAAACTGGAAGCGGATCCCTCGGGCTACACTCAAGCATCACTCTGCAAAAGGAAGGCTGCAGAACATGTAAACAGGCATGAAGCTTGGGATAAAGCCATGTCCTTAGTTAAGTTCTTTAGTCCTTCAGAGAATTCACCCATTCCACATTGCAAAGGGATGAACAAACTGACAGCACATTTTTCTCTGGGAACTTCCCGGCCATAAATGGAAGCAGCTGCTTCTTTTAGTGCTGGGAAGCAGCTATTCAACCCCTTAAATAAGCAGCCTGACAGATCTGGAGGGGCAACACATGCATGATGGAAGAAAGTTCACCCAGTTGTATACGTCCTTGTTGAGCATTATTTAGTAGCTATCATCCCATTAATACATACACGTAACATGAGAGCAAGACAAATGTTATTTGGGAAAAGACTGTTCCATAAGCCATTACTTCCCTCACCAGAACTTGCACTCACAAGATGTTTTGGGAGAAACTGGGCTCTGCCTTCTGGCATAATTCCGTAATCCAGTTTGCTTTCCAAGACCGAAGACGTTTTTCATTCCATAAACACATAAATCTCTGGCCAGTTAATGTCAGTTAAATTCCTCACCCTGCCAGCCAGTGTCTGATTTATGGTCCTGAAACACTGGAATTCAAGCCTCTAAATCCTCCTTTTCTCTGATGGAAGTGTCTGCCCAAGTATCCTGGCTTTTACTTACTACTGGCCTCTTCAGCTTGTGACAAAGGGTTTGATGTGCAAGCATTACCCACCTTGAAGGCCGGGTTCCAGGTGCTAAAAAGGGTCATATCTGTTCTTCCTGCAAGTAACCCACATCCCAAAGGAGGGACACAAGGCTAGACTTTAGTAAGATAAAGAATATTTTACATCTACCTCTGAAACACAAGCAGTACACTGCAGTTCTGGTTTATAAAGACAAACAGGAAAATGACATCCATGTCCCTTGTCTTTTATTGCCAGGACCTGTTAAACATAATCACAACATAACTTATTTCATATGCTGTCCATACAGCTCCCTATGGAATGCTATTCTGGAAAACCTTCTGGCATGCTGATGGGGACTTGAGAATTGAAGAGTTATTGGAACTTTTCTCTTGTGAAGAGAAGCTGATAATTCACAGAAATTAGTTCCAGAGAGCTTTCCTTAATAGCATAAAGGTATCTGCAAAACATCATATTTAACTGAATTCTCCATTTTCAGTGAGGTCAAACACGACCGGAGCCTTGTCCATCTGATCAGATTAGCCAGAATGAGCGTTTATTCCAACAAAACCACAGTGGATGGGAGCTTGAGAAGCATGGAGAGCCTGTGAGGAGAATCCACACCACCCATGCTTTCCATTAGGCTTCCTGTGGAGCAACACAAGAGTAGCTCTCTACATAAAACCATGGAAGATTAAGTTGTTTTAAGACTGAAATTTCAGCTGCTAGAATTTATGAGCTGCTGAAGAAAGCTCCAATAGAGAATTGCACTGACTTGGTGGCCAGAGAACAGATTACTGGCTGCTAAGGGCATACCCTTCCTTAATGGACAAGGCAGGGCCCTTTGTACAGGTCAGATCAGAATTCCTGCTCCTGAGAGTTACATGCATTCTACAACCAGTTGTTACTACACTGACAAAAAAAACTAGCCAGGTAGCACTTGGAAAAATTACTTGTGCTGCTTGTTTTTAGTTAAGCTAAGGCCCTCAAGCAATACTGGTTATTTAATCACGGTCCACATGAACCACAACCTGAGGGACTTGGGAACAGGCTGTTCAGCAGTGTCCTTATTCAGATAAATCACACTGCCCACCTTAAATTAAAGGAAGAACTTTTTCTGGTTTTTTTTGGTTTTTTTTAATTACATTTCCTACTTTATCTGGGCAACTCTGCAAATCTCCCTATGTCAGTGCAATGCTCACAGACACTGAGGATATAAATTGAACACTTCCAAGACCACTCAGGAATTCTAACAGTTCCTTTGACACAAAAACGAGCTCTGTTACCTTACCAGCCTTCCTGTGAAGGAACAACCCTCCATGGCTGCTGCTTTTGAATGTGTGACGATTCTAATGATTTGCCCTTTCTGGGCTGAAAAATTTGTGCGCATGTTTGTGCAGGGACCCAACTGCTTCAACTGCACTCCCCATATTAG